TGTATCCCTCTCAGCCTGGATTCGTCCTGGTAGGCAGGGTCAGAAGCCCGCCTCCTAATGAATCTTAATTGTGTCCACAGCTGTATTAAAACGCCTACATTTAAAAAAATCCCTAACATTGCCTGATGACCCGTCTGCACGCACAACAACTGTGTACTGATACAACATTCAACACTAGCGACATGAAGAAAATGGGTTTGTTTTTAATGATTTGTTTTCCCTTTTGGTGAGTAAAATGATGTTATGTAGATTTCTCACAGCTTAACAACTAAGAAGCATTATTCATCTTTACAAGAATATTGTGCCTAAGTGTCCAAGGGGCGTTGTTTGTTTTGTTTTGTTGTAAAGTTTACCATGTCGTTTAAGATGAGAGACACCGGCTACATCGTCACAAACAAGAACACAACATTCGCGTTTTAGATAAGAAGGAAGTTATCGTCAAAAATGTATTCTTAAAAATGATGTTTGCAAAGAATTTGTTTTTCTTAGTAACGACATTTAGTTTATTTGGCCCTCCTGTAAAAAAATAAAAATAAAAATAAAACATTGCATATTGCACTTTAAAAAATCATGACAGAATTATTACATTTGCAACTTATTTATCGCATTTTGTGTTTTGACGGACGAACTAGAAGCAGCACGGATGGTGCAGTTTTGCTAGGCTGTAGACATAGAAGAAGCAACATTGATACGAGTACTGCATATTTCTTCTATAACGGAATAGTGATTTTCATAAGTACATAAATCCTGCTTGAATGTGGTAGTCGCTAAAACACTGGTTACCGGAGTCAGGAGCTCAGACTGAATCTGAGCAAGAATTTCCCGAGATATCTTTGAGGTTGTTTGTTATCATGGGACAGTTTTTACCCCACACCTCACCCCTCTGTAACTCTAGGTTAGTCCTATCGGAGACGGTTGTGGATTCTCTCTCTCTCTCTCTCTCTCTCTCTCTCTCTCTCTCTCTCTCTCTCTCTCTCTCTCTCTCTCTCTCTCTCTCTCTCTCTCTCTCTCTCTTTCTCTCTCTCACACACACACAGCTCATGGTCATCAAACCAACTGGATGAACAAAAGTTGTGTTGAAAAAAGGGTAGCGCTCAAAGTTATTTAATTAACATAGGCTCACCTTGGTAGACCACACAAAGCAACTGATATGTGTGTGGTAATGGCAGTCTGTTAACCAGGTCTTTTAGATTATATATATATGTGTGTGTGAGTGTGTGTGTGTTTGTGTGTGTGTGTGTGTGTGTGTGTGTGTGTGTGTGTGTGTGTGTGTGTGCGTGAGTTTATAAGTGTTTTAAGCAGGGTTAGTATCAACTATATCCGTGGAAGTATCAATGGGTTAATGTTATAGTTAGAAGTCTACTATACGTTGCAACCTTCACATACTCTGATATTTCTGTCTGATCTTCAACTATTGTTCATGAAAATAATTTATGTGGACACTTACATATGTCGATTAACTGATTGTATGGAACAATTGATTGTGTTGGATTCTGATTTGAACGAAATTCCGTTAGGAATAAAAATAGCATACTATATATTAGGTCCATTTATCAAGCGTGACTTACTTGAAACACTTGATGAATATAAGAAAAGTAAAAGTATTCGTAGACCACAAAATTTATTAGCGTGATATTGTTCTGATTTATTTCATTTCAAAGATGAAACACAAACACAGAGATAGACAGAAGGGAGAGAGCGAGAGAGAAAGAGAGGGGGGCAGAAGGGGGAGAGAGAGAGGAGAGAGAGAGTAAGAGAGAAAAAAGAAAGAGAGGAGAAGAGAGAGGGAGAGAGAGGGAGAGAGAGAGAAAGAGAAGGGGAGAGAGAGAGAGATAGAGAGAGAGAGAGAGAGGGAAGGAGAGAATGAGATTAAAAGAGAGAGAAAGAGAGAGATAGAATAAGAGAGAGAAAGAAAGAGAGGGGAAGAGAGAGGGAGAGAGAGAGGGAGAGAGAGAGGGAGGGAGAGAGGGGGAGAGAGAGGGAGAGAGAGAGAGGGGGGGGAGAGAGAGAGAGAAAGAAAGAGAAAGAAAGAGAGGGAGAGAGAGAGAGGCAGAGAGAGAGAGAAAGAGAAGGGGAGAGAGAGGGAGATAGAGAGAGAGGGGGAGGGAGAGAATGAGATAAATAGAGAGAGAGAAAGAGAGAGATAGAGTGAAAGAGAGAAAGAGAGAGAGAGAAAGAAAGAAAGAAAGAAAGAGAGAGAGAGAGAGAGAGAGAGAGATATATATTGTCCTTCATTTTGAGGCAATTATTACATCTTTCAAAAAGTTCAAAAAGCATCGTCAATTCAATACAACGTTTTATACATACAATAGCAAAGAGCTGCAACGCATTTTCTCATATCGTTATAAGCGAAATACTCAAAGTTTAATTAGCGAAACAATGTATTCAAACCCCAAACAAAAGTAAGAAAGTGTCTAAGACAACGTACCTGTTCCATGTCCAAAATCTCCAACGCGTCTTTGTTCAGGACTCTGTACTTGGCTTCCTTCAACACAGGCATGGTTGCTAGATGGTAAACAGCCGCACAAAACGCCAGGGAAATCCACAAAGAGGTAGATTTTTCGGAAACGTTTCTCAAGTCTTTGAATCTCACAAACAGCACAGAGCACAGTGCACTAACGAAAATACGTAAGCCAAAAAGCAGAAAAAAGACAACTGATTCTGAAGTCCGAGATGTGCACTTTGGAAAACGTGGGCAATGTCGAACACAAGATCGCAATGTCAAGAGCTGTAACCTCACTGAGAAGTGAAATCGAATAGGAAGAAAATTTCAGATCGGGCCCTTATATATGGAGGGGATACCATAGGCACCCTTAGTGGCCTTAGTAGCAGACAGCCCAATCAAATGGCTTTGAAAAATGTCAATGACCGTCATCAGAATTCAAAATCTTTAACAAAAACAAGCCAAGGCAAGCCAGTCATCATCATCTCTATTGTCCGCCCTACCCTGTTAGGAGTCTCCTGGCTCCCTCGGGGCCATTGGTTCAATCGTTTCATAGAATACTTATCAAAACAGAACATCTACAAAAGGCCGGTGTGTATACGGATATGACAAGCCAGCTTTTTAATCATCAGCAATGTCCGTTAAATTTTGTGAGTCGTCGACGCAACCGGCTCAGGTGTGAAAACTGGACAATGGGTGACCGCTAGGAGTGGTGGAGGTGGTTTGATATAGGCAAGCCTTTATCACAATACTAGTCGTTTTGTTGAAAAGAAACTTTATCAAATCAAGAGAATTTCTCTGAATGACAAGAATAGAGTGAAAAAAAGGTCTCAATATACTGACTTTTATTCTCTCTCTCTCTCTCTCTCTCTCTCTCTCTCTCTCTCTCTCTCTCTCTCTCTCTCTCTCTCTCTCTCTCTCTCTCTCTCTCTCTCTCTCTCTCTCTCTCTCTCTCTCTCTCCTTTAGCTTTTTATTATTCCATTTCATTTAATTTTTATCTATTTTTAAGGGACTTGTTGTTTTTAATTTTTGTTTGCTTGTTGTTAATTTTTTGGGGGTGTTTTTTATATACATTTTTTAAAGTGGAGGTACTTCATAGGCATCTGAGAGAGAGAGAGAGAGAGAGAGAGAGATGGACAGTGTATAGAAAGAGGAAGAAATAGATATATCATCAATGACTTCCACCCCTGGCCACATACAAGCTCTTTCCATTTATTTCTGCCCTGGGTCATCCTCCTAAGCTAGTTCCAAGTGAGCCTCAACTCTGGTGTCCATTTTCACACATGTCCTCCATGTTTCCCGTGGCCTACCCCTGCTTCGTGCTGTCTGTGAGTTCCACTGTAGCGACTATTTTGTTGTTTCCGCTGGGCTTTCTGAAGGTGTGTCCCATTCATTACCATTTTTAAAGTCCTATTTCTACTTCTAGGTCCTCTTGTCCAGCCCTTTCCCACAGCTCTTCATTTTTTATTCTCTCCTGCGACTTAATTTTTCTGATACTCCTCACAAATATGTTGATGAAAGTCTGAACTTTATTCAGTAAGCCTACCTTCTTTGTTGCCTTTCGAGTTTCGCAGCCCTTGAGGCTCATAGACTTGACAATGGAGTTAAAGAGTCGAATCTTGGTGCGCAGACATATTCTTTTGGTCAGACCACAATGTACTAATTATAATAATATGTTTATTGTTTTATTGTGAAGCGCTCAGAGCCGGCACTTAAACAGGGTTGAGCTTAGTTTAGTTTTAGTTTTGTACGGGGTTTTACGGCGTTCGAAACTGCATAAGGTCATATATACTACAATTTTCCATAAAGTCAATGGCCTTCATAAAATCCAAATTTCTGTTGGGACGGAAAAAATGTCCGGCAATTTTTTTGCATTTAAAGTGTTTCCTTCGGATTTCTCCAAAGTCTAGACATTCGGTTAAGATGTGTCTAATGGTAAAATCTGAGTCGCATCCGAAACAGAACGGCTTCTCATCTCCCTGTAGGGAAGGAGGTGTTAAAATTTGTGGGTCAGGGCCGTGTGTCCGATGTGCAATCGAGTAAAAATGACTTTGTCTCTTCTGGAGAGGTCCGAAGGATTTCACGGTCCCAGTTTGGGTTTTATATTATAGAGTATGTTATTTTCCTGTTTTTTTCCAGTGGCTCTCCCACAAACTGGAGTGTATTTTTTTACTTTATTTTTTAAAGTCAGTCTGTGGGAGAGTGTTCGTCGTTGATCACAACAGTAGGGATGAGGATTTCTTCGCCAGGTCGTTTACCTGCTCGTTTCCTCGGATGCCCACATATATCATTATTAATTGAAAAGGAATGTTGTCTTCTTTTCAACTGAACCAAAATCCAAAATAATGAAACGTCTACCTCGTGGACCAAACCGTCAAGACTCACACTTTGTTTGCTCTTGGCTATCGCAGACACAGGTAGCTGTGTGCAACTACTACTACTACTACTACTAATACTACTACTACTACTACTACTACTACTACTATTACTACTACTACTACTACTACTACTACTACTACTACTACTACTACTACTACTACTACTACTACTACTACTACTGCTGCTACTGCTGCTACTGCTGCTGCTGCTACTGCTGCTGCTGCTACTGCTGCTGCTGCTGCTGCTACTGCTGCTACTACTACTGCTACTACTACTACTACTACTACTACTACTACTACTACTACTACTACTACTAATAATAATAATAATAATAATAATAATAATAATAGTGATACTACTACTACTAATAATAATAATAATAATAATAATAATAATAATAGTGATAATAGTTATTGTTTAAGTAAAGGTTTAACGGCGGTCGCAACTGCAAAAGCTCATATAAGCGCCAGAAGATTAGAGGTGTTACAAGAGAGTAACAAATAGAAAAAAAGAAGGGGCGATAACGAATATAGATGTTCGATAGGAAAGAAGAAGCAAACCACACCAGAGCACCCGATTAACCACCCAATAATAATAATAATAATAATAATAATAATAATAATAATAATAATAATAATAATAATAATAATAATAATAATAATAATAATAATAATAATAATAATAATAATAATAATAATAATAATAATAATAATAATATAATAATGATAATAATAATAATTATTATTATTATTATAATACTACTAATAATGATAATGATAATAATAATCTATTAGTAATAATACTAATAGAATAAATAACAATTGAAATAATAATAATGATGGTAATAATAATAATAATAATAATACTAATAATAATAATAATAATAATAATTATTATAGCATTTGTATAGCGCATATCTCTGCTTTACACTAAATTAATACATCAGCACACAACAGAACATCCCAAAGCATTATAATCTTTCTGGGAAGCATGCAGCGCAAGACTCTATAGCTGGTTACACAGTTCCTCCTGGGTGAAGTGAGGAAAATTCGTGTAAAGTGCCTTTTCCAAGGACACAGCGTTGGGTCCCAAATGGGGTTTGAACCCACGACCTTGCGGTTGTGAGTCTGAGAACCTTACCATTAGCTACCAACGACACAAAGATCACTGTGTTTGTCAAAAAAGTACGAACTACCTGCTTGTTTTCCCTCCCAGAACACAGTATTAATTCCCCCGAGCTGAGCTGCTTCTGTACAGATTGTATCCAGGGGGTTTCGCTGACTCCTAGTATGTGCAGCCTGTATCGCTTCACTGCTTCTTTCATTGAATCTTTTCTTTTCCCCATAGTTCTTCCAATTGAGTAATGTTTTCCAGACCTTGTAATGTATTGCTATTATCAATTTACAAAAAACATGTTTTTCAATGTTTGATTTGTCTCTAAAAAGCCTTATTTCAAATTTAGGTTGCTACTTTGACTTTTAAAGGTTTTTTTCAGTCCCATCTGCATTTTGCACATGGCTGGTACATGGTCACTATCACATTCTGCTCCTGTCAATAATTTAGAGAATTTTATTGAATTTCAAATACATATCCGAATGAGTAAGACTATGTTCACACTTGTAGGTATGCGTGCATGGTTGGCGGGTGCAACTGTGTGGGATACTTCTTCTTTCCTGTCAAACATCGATCACCCTCATTACCAACCCGTCCTCTTTGCTTTGTTATTACTCTCTCACACACATACACACACATAAACAAATAAACCAACAATACAACCAGAACGTATGTTTTTACAAAAGTGGAGTTTATTTACAAAAAAAAAATTAAATTAAAAGCAACAAGGAAACCAATAAACACACATGACATTTTATAGCAATAAAGTAACTTTATTTCTTATCTTTAACTGGACATAATTTTCATTTTAAAAAACCTTCCCTGTATATGTACACACGCTCGATTAAAACAGGAACACGTCTTTGCAGCCACACCCTGCTATTTGTTAGCTTTGGCAGTACAAAATTTGCATAAAACATTCCCAGTATGTACACGCGCACTCGTTAAGCCAGGAAAGCATAATTATTTGCATCTACACAAGAACTTATACGTTGATGCCCTTAAAAATATATACAAATGTATATTATACACACACAGCTATGAAACCATACGTATATTTTTTACAAAAGATGAGTTTATTAACACAAAAAGAAAACCCACAAGTAAACCAATAAACACATATAGTGTACGGCAGTTAATCAAATAACTTTATTTCTTCACTTTAACAGTACAAAATGTGCATAAAAACCTTCCCTGTATATGTACTCACATACTCGTTAACACAGGAACACGTCTTTGCAGCCACACCCTGCTACCTACAATCTCTCCCATACTCTCTGTCTGTGTATCCGTAACTGTATCAGTCAGTTTGTCTGTCTGTCTGTCTCTCTCTCTCCCTCCCTCTCTCTCTCTCTCTTTCTCTCTCTCTCTCTCTCTCTCTCTCTCTCTCTCTATCTCTATCTCTCTATCTCTCTATCTCTTTCTATCTATCTATCTATCTATCTATCTATCTATCTATCTATCTATCTATCTATCTATCCTACACACATAATAAACACTCATACACTCACATATTTCTCTCTCTCCCTCCCTCCTTCTCTCTATCCCTCTGTCTCTCTGTCTC